CTTGTTGGATTGGAGGATAGGTTTTGGCGATTGTACTTGATTGGAGGGACTTTGACACTCATTCGCATAATGATGATATGGCTCCTTGCCCAGTGTTTGGGTAGCACATTCGAGAAGGAAGGATCCTGCATATAAACTGTACGGAGCCCTTCTGGTTGGTTGACCCCAAACACTGGGTTCGCCTCCCTCCACGTGTTGACGGATGTTTTAGTTCACCTCCTTCCGCCTCCTCCCCGCCTGGACTCTATTGATACGCTGGACTTGCGGTCATAGGCCGGCATACGTTACAGTAGGTTGATGGCAAACACTAGCTCAGCCAGCTCTGATGAGGAAAAGGTGACTAAGAAGACCAATAAAAATACAGGCTACAGTTATTACAGGCTAGTATACGGTGTAAAGTTTGAGTCGAAGCCTGATGGCTCAAGTGAGTCGGGAGAAAGAGTTGATGACGTCGGGGACCTCAAGAAAAACAGTGGCGAGGACAATTCGAAGCGAATACTCAAAGTTATCCCTCTGAAAACAAGAAACCTTGAATTCGCCAAGAGAGAAAATCCATCTAAAGATTTCGGGTGGAGGGTGACGAACAACTTAATGTCGGAAGATGTTGTCAGTAAGCAGTCGGGTGCGCTGCATGATGATGTCTATAGTGGATATACATTCAATGAGGTGGTAGATGTTCCCAAAAGAATGATGAAAACTCAGGCGTTTTTGGTTTGAAGTGTCGGTTCTTGAAATGTTTCTGAGAGAATGATTACAGCTTCTCGAAAGATTTATTGTATCACTTTCAGAGCGAAAAAGAGACTGCCAATACTGAGTAAATACATAGATCCGAACTCTTCTTTCCGCCATTCAAATGCTTTTCATATCCGTTTGACGATTCACACATCTATCACTCTTATAACTGCAGGACCGTCAAAGTTTTTAGTTTTAGAGACTTGTGCCACAGTAAGGAAACAAGTTGTTGCTGATATGTCTGTTTCTGGTCTCGTTTTCCAAAGCTAGACTTGAAACAACAGAAGTAATCAAATGTTTTTGTAGGTAAAGAAAACAATGAATTGGAAGAAAACGCTTTTTGGGCCTCTTATAAACTGGCTAAACTCGAAGGAGCACGACGAGAAATATGCCATTTTACAGAAAAACCCTGACTTGGAAAGATTTGGATGGTATTGCGAGTCGAGATACTCGAAAAGCAAGCAAGAACCTGGATTTGAGATACAAAAGGTATTCACAGGCATGGTGACAGAATCCCCGTCACCATGAAGGAGAGTAAATGGGAGAAGGAAACATGTATGGAGTGTAAATACAACAAAGAGTCGCGCACAATCAACACCTGCTCCGAGAAAAAATGCAAGGAGGGAGAGCTAACACTCAAGGGGTACAGGCAACTGGAAAGTCTTGGGTGCTTTATCAAGAGCACGTACGAGTCTCTTTTGGGGAAAAATGGAGAGTACATAAAGTATATAGATCTAAGGGCCACGTCTATTCCAAGAACACACTCATCACTGTTCGGGGTTATGAATGGCATAAAAAAGACAAAGTCACTGAAGAATGTAAACGTCCACGACGATGACAGTCTCCTCAGTCCACAAAAGTGGAAAGCTTAGACCAGGTAGTAAAAACACAGGGTAGGGACCTTTATGCCAATCTAAAATCAGATGAGTATGAGCTTAGCTCTGAAAAAATGGCTGACAGCTACTGGACACATTTTTGCAACGACATTGAGATAAACTGCAATGTTTTAGACTGCAAAGAAAATAATATTTCGGAGTATCTTAAGGCCAGCTCTGAAACCTGGAAGGAGCAGGCCAAGATTGCTGACGAAAACGAGTCTTGAAGACATCGTTTGGAAAGTTTGAGAAGGAACTTGTAGATATTTTAGAAAACAACTCCCGCATGCACATTTACTCGGCACACGATGGGTCAGTAAGTGCAATTCTGATAGGACTGGGGACAAGCATCTACGAGAGACCCTCCTATGCCAGTGCAGTCTTCATAGAAAAGTGGATAAAAGAAAAAGAAAAGGTTATAAGTGTGGTCTACAACGACCGCGCGTGTAAAACGCTAATAGACGAGAGGGCCAACATACCTTTAGACAAATTCCTGGAATATCTGAAAATTTTGGCGATAGAACACGAGGATTTGCTTGAGCTGTGCTCTTTGCCGATATAGATGCCGATATGTCTTTGCCGACAAACTGTTTATCTCAAAAGTAATGATGCCTCTTTTTGGCAAGATCAGCAAGAATCTTTCAGGAATGTTTTTGTCTCTGTAACTCTGTAATTACGCCGATATGTCATTTATATAGGTATTGTGCGAACATGTGAGATGTCTGCACTCAATCAACGTGAAGCCATGGCACCTTTCCTCCACGCAAATACCATTTTTTTTTTATAAAACGGCAATTCTCTATGGCTCATAGACAGGCCAAAACCACCCAGATATACGTTTGTATTATTTCTGGGAGCTTATTGTGAAGCTATCGCTTTTGATTTTCAACGGGACCTCTACCGCCAATGTACAACGATATCAGATGACTGGTTTGAACACAAAAGAACCGTGGACAAAAAATGTATTTAATGAGAATAAACTATAGCCTGCTCTGAGACACTGGTCTTGCAATATAGTGGGAACTAAGACACCTTAGCATTGAGCGAAAGTATTTTTTATCCTTTTCCCGAAGAAGCCACTCCTTTGGAACTCAAACATTACAACATTCCCGCTCTTTCTTTCAAATTCTCGAATTAGATGCATGAACTCCTTGTCATGGGGCTCAATATCCCACATAAGGAGGTTTAGAATATATTTCTCTCTAGAACTAATCTTGGAATGCGACAATGCACACAGCTGCGACCAGCACAAATTCGTATATACTGCGTCCTCTACTATTTTAGAACCTATAACAAGAGCGACAACAAACAAAGAAACGCATTTCCCATTAGATTCTTGCGATCGTCCTTTTTTATACGAGTAGCGAATCTCGAAGGGCTGTGCGCCGCAAGATTTCCCTCTTGACACTCTTTGATTGAATATCTGTTGAGCGACTTTTTGTACAGGTTATGTACAGGCTATGAAAAAGTGCCTGAATGATACTTTGCTCTTTCTGATTACTGGCCACAACATTTCTACAAAATATTCGTTTTTTATAAAGCTGTTGAGAAATTTTGCTGCAATGAGCCATGTTTCCCTTTAATTCGCGACCTCGTCGTCTAGATAACAAAATATTGTCATCTGAACCATGATTATTGCCGCTGAATGACTTGAAAGTGTGCAGATTCTTGCTTTTCAGTGATTTTCTCCTTTTTATATTGCAGCTAAATTGCAATTTGTGTATTTATTAATATCCTTAATTGGGAAACAAAGGAGATACGCTTTTGAACTTGTGAAGAACAAGCTGCAGCCATTGATCGATTTTTTAATCAACTAGCCACTCTAAAAATGGGTAGTTGTGATATTAATAGTCACTATCGTACTCGATAAAATCCCCGCTTTTTGTGATTAACCGCTATTTTCTATATTTAAAAAGATTGGAGACTCCTTCATAGCGAGAGATAAAAATAACAAACCACCATCTCTGTTATTATTATATTGAAGAGCTAATTAAACGATGCAACTTCGTGGATATTGAACAAATAAACGACCTGCAGCTCCTATTAAGAGCTATTCCATGTCACCAGTACTGAGTGTATTTAAATAAGCGATGTCCGCTAAAAAGTATTTATAAATAAATAAAAGTAAATTTAAAGTATAGTGTTCCTAACCAACGAAATTGTGTTGAAAGCTTTTTAGAACAAAAAGTTTAATTCTTCTTGTAATCCATTTTACTTTCCAGCTTCTTGGTAGATGCAATTTTCCTTGCAGACTTAATAAAATCATCATTGATCACATAGTTCCGATCCTCTCTCAGTGCGAACATTCCAGCCTCTGTACAAACATTCCTTAGATCGGCACCGTTGAATCCGTGAGTCAATTTGACCAAAACCTCAAGGTCTATCTCCTCACCCTTCTCCATCTCACCAAAATGGATTTTTAGTATATTCTTTCTAGACTGGTCGTTGGGTAGTGGAATGTTAATTTTCCTGTCAAGTCTTCCAGGCCTCATTAGAGCAGGATCCAGTATATCAGGCCTGTTGGTTGCCATTATCACCTTGACATCCTCCAGGTCTTTAAATCCATCCAGCTGATTCAACAGTTCCATCAATGTCCTTTGCACTTCCCTGTCGCTTGAACTGGAATCACTCGTCCTCTTGCCACCGATCGCATCAATCTCGTCCAAAAAAAGTATGCAGGGGGCTTTTTCCCTTGCGTATGCAAACATTTCCCTTAATCATCCTGGAACTTTCGCCGATATATTCCTCAATCAAGGTAGAGGAAACGACCTTCAATAAATTTACGCCCAAAGTAGTTGCAACTGCCCTGGCTAGCAGGGTTTTTCCTGTTCCCGGTGTACCCTAGAGCAAAACACCCTTTGGAGCCCTAATGCCCACTCTTTTAAATATTTCGGGATTTTTAATTTGCAACTCGATCACCTCCTTTAGTTCTCTAATTTCGTTTTTCAGTCCTCCGACCTTCTCAAAACTTATGTCCCCAGGCGATTCTTCCGTCATGGAATTGACAGTTGGGTCCACCTCCCTCGGAAGAATTTTCATTATGGTCAGAGTTGTCAGGTCCAAGGCCACTCTGCTGCTAGAAACGATAAGAGACCTATCAATATACGCCTTGCATCCAACAACGTATCTTGGTCCCTGGCTGTTCTTCACTATAAATTTCTCGTCGTCCAACTTCTTTAGGACCTACTTCTTTAGGGCCAACGGTTGATAGCGACTGGACGTCGTTTTCAGTCTTGAGAAATTTCACCTTGGTTTCTTTTCGGATATTGTGTTGATCCCTTAGGAAGCACTGGGTGGTTTCGTGGTCCTTTAGGGCGCGGTAATAGTCATCGTATATATGTTGTAATTGTGCTTGTTTTGAAGTAGCCATAGGGGCTAATGAACTAGTGTTTGTTGTTAGTATGGGACTGAATGAATAAAGGGCAACGTCTGCACAGAAATTTAATATAAATCCATAAAATTCCAATCCACATTTAAACCCAATTTCAGTGCCAATTGTTCTGAACTCTGCAAGAGGCCACAAACAAATCACATCACAAGTTTTCTTATTCAAAGCTGCTTCCCAAGAAAGCACAACTTTATCTAAGACATTGGTTCAAATATTAAGGATTAATTCCCAAAAATACCACAAGATCTGGTCACATATTAGTGTCTGCGATTTTTCGCCGATATTATAGTTTTTTTATAAATGCAATTACTGCGATTTCGATTCACTATTAAAACATTGTTGCAGCGAATTCATATCTCCTTGACATGCTGTTGTAACACCGGTCGAATTTTACCGTGTATTGAATCAGCAGCGGCTCCATCCTATAAGAATTTTGAAACATACGGAATGTCTCCCTTCAGATCCAGCACACTGTAGATTAATTATTCAATTTGTCTAAAGGACATGATTCTATAACTAAATTAACAGTCTAATGGGATATCAGATTTCTGAACATTTTGATCAAATAGATTATAGTTTTTCCGCATAAATGACTAGACTACAACCAAATAGGCATTTTACGTCCAATATTCTTGATGGCCGCTACTGTTGATGTTACCATCATAATGGCATTCCTTTTTATGCGCATGAAAAAGTTGAAAGGAGCTTCTAGATCAAAGGCAGGAAAAGCATAAAAATCTAACGAAAAAAAGGGTGGGCGACTATTGGATGCAAGTAATAGGGTATATTACATTGCAGCAATCAAACTTTAGTATAAACTGGACTATGATTAGGAAATTTCCAGAGGGATCTCTCTGGCGACTGGGCCTCTGCCAGAAGAAACTTCTGAAGGTCTCTGATATTCTGAAAGTTTTTTGCTGTTTATATGGGTAGTAAATAAAACAGACCAATACTCTTATCATTTTTCAAGTTTTCGATGTTAAGCATCCTGTATAAATTGAGAAAAAGGGGCAATCTCCAGGTAGCGTGGCCGAGTGGTTAAAGGCGCCAGGTTCAGGTCCTGGTCCTCTTTAGAGGGTGTGGGTTCGATTCCCACTGTTGCCATTGTCGAGGTGTTCTTCTTTGAGCGCGCCCCCGATTTTTCTATATTAACAACTTCTACACAAAATATTTATTATCATGTGCCAAAAACGGACAGAGTTGGAGACTTGATCGAGGTATTTTTATGAAAATAGCGGGCCCTTTGAAAGAATAATGTAACAGTTTTTTAATGGTAGATACCATAAAAGCCGGTTAAGCGAAAGTAGTAGAATCAATTTCTGTGAATAATGTTCATTAATTGAAAAATCCATCAGAAAGACACATCTGCACTTTCTGCATACTTGGCATTTTTTAAGCTCTTTCAATCTATCCGAATATATCTCCACATAAAGCACTGGACATGTGTTACATCGACGCTGATCACGATTCCTTGCATCAATGGGACTGAGGACAGTGGTGAAAATGAGGTGCAGAGGACTATGCTGGAGTTGATCAACCAGCTGGACGGTTTTGCTTCAAGGGGGAATGTAAAGGTTTTGATGGCAACCAATCGGCCAGATACCCTAGATCCTGCTTTGCTTAGATCGGGGAGGCTGGACAGGAAGGTGGAGTTTGGACTGCCTGACTTAGATGGGAGGACGCAGATTCGTAGGATCCATGCAAGAGCAATGAGTGTGGAAAAATACATTCGGTACAATCTAATGGCGAGACTGTGTCCCAATTCTACAGGAGCAGAGCTGAGAAGTGTCTGCACCGAAGCAGGGATGCTTGCAATAAGAGAAAGGAGGAAGATAGCGGCAGAAAATGACTTTATAGCTGCGGGTGATAAGGTTGTCAAAGGATATGCCAAGTTCTCTGCGACACCCAGGTATTTGACAATAATTAAAAGGAGCTTCAATATGCCTTCTTGATACTTTTACTGAGCCCAGAATGTTCTATCAAGTTTGCGCTGGTTGATAGCATTCTTATAACGTAGTCAGGAGCGCAAGGGCCTAGCTATGAAAGAACAAAATTTGCCTTGGGGATGGAGCCTGTAAGAGTTTTGGATAAAAAAAATGTTGGGCCCCAATGGATTTGCTGGGAATAACAGGCATTAAGATGAAGGACTTCAAGAGCTTTGAGGGTGAGCATGAAATAAGTGGATTGGATCACCACTTCACCGCTGTTGTTGGACCGAATGGATCGGGAAAATCAAATATAATTGACTCGATTTTGTTTGTTCTTGGGTTCCGAGCAAAAAAAAAGAGACATACGGTGCAAACGGATCTAATTTACAGGGACACGGAGAGAAGGCCGATGTGCTACGTCGAGC